GGGTAACTGGGGCTGGGAGAGAGCCCGGACAGCTGGAAGGGGCCCTGGCTGCAGATGGGATCCTTGGGAAGAAGACAAAGGAGGAAGGAAGGGGTGAGAGGTGCCAGAGTCTTGATCACCTGGGCCCCCACACTGCCCCCTCCACCCCCCTGGCCCACCACCTGGGTTTTGGAGGCAAGTGAAAGCAGGCCACAGAACTCTCTTCTTCTAGCAATCTCTTTCCTCCCTCCCCCTTGTCTGTTAGTCCAGAAGCTCTCACTCTCCCTTCAGCCCAGGGACTCCCGTCTCCCTGACCACCCTCTTCTACCACCCATTCCCTGTTCCCTCCTCCTCCTCCTCCTCCTTCCCCCATCCTTCGGAGTGGAGCGGCAGCCGAGGCCAATTGATTATCTGAAGAAATTCGGAGCTAGCAGTAGAACAGCTGCAGCTGCCCCCTCCTACCACCCCCAGGCCCTGAGGGACCCCTGAGGGGAGGGGCCCTTAACCCCTCTGCTCTCCAGCCTGGGAGGGAGGCAGGGAGCTCAGAGCACCGTGAGTGGCCGCTGAGCAAGGAGAGACACAGAGCACTGGCGGGTGCCAGGAGCAGAGGAATGGGGTTATAATCCCAGTCCATCATCATGGATGAGTCACATCACCTTTCTGGACAGGATTTATCTACCTTTAAAGCAAAGGTGTTGGACTGGACATGGTCCTGCCTGCTCATGGTCCCAGCTTCTCTGGAGGTTGAAACAGGAGGATTGCAAGTTCAAGGCCAGCCTCAGCAACTTTGTGAGAACCTGTCCCAAACGAAAAAATAAAAGGGCTGGGGGCATAGCTCAGTGGTAAAGTGCCCCTGGATTCTTTAATCCCTAGTACCACAAGCAAAAAAAAAAAAAAAAAAGTGTTGGATTCAATGATTTCTATACTCCCTTCTAACTCTCGTCCTTTGCTGCCCTGATCTCAGTCCAGCCCTCCCTCTTGCCAGTCTCTGGGGTTAGCATCTCCCTCCCACTGTTTGCCTACAGCATTCTCATATGACCTCTGATTTGGAAAGATCTTCAAATGGACCTAGCCAGGATTCCATCTGAGGGATGGAACGACAGTATCTCTGCATGTGATTGATTCTTCAGCCCCACCACTTGGATTCCTCTTCCTTGAGGCAAGTGCTTTCGTTTCTGGAGGGCTCCAGGTTTTGCAAATCTTTTCTTGGAATTAAAATCTGCCCTCCTATAGTCTCTACTCACTAATCACTAATCTGGGTTCTGCCTCCTGGGGCCACCAGAATGTGGTTTTGCAGTAGTGGAAATAAAACCCAAGGGCACTCTACCACTCAGCTACATCCCCAGACCTTTTTAATTTTTATTTTGAGACACAGTCTTGAGCTAGTTTGCCCAGGATGGCCTCAAACTTTCCATCCTCCTGACTCAGCCTCCTGAGTCACTGGAATTTGGGGGGTACCACCTCTGTACCCAATTTAGATCTACTCTTATCAAGACACATAGCCTCCATCTTCTACCATCTCTTCCATGAAATATCTCTAGACCTTTTGCTTTCTTGACCACGCAACTCTGAATCTTCTCTAGTTTATCAATTTGGTGAAAATGTGGAGTTCAAAAGAGCACCACCCATCTGTATGGATCATTTCAAGGAGGCAGAGGAGGGTTGACAGCAGAGGGCATCAAGAACATGGCTTTAGGGGCTGGAGGTGTGGCTCTGTGGTAAAGCACTTATTTCACATGCTTGAGGCTCAGGGTTCAAAACCTAGCACTGAAGAAAAGAAAAATGTGAGTCTAGTCCTAGGTGTGTGACCTTGGGAAAGTCCTGTACCCTCTGAGGACTTTAGTTTTTTTTTAATTTTTTAGTTGTAGTTGGACACAATACCTTTATTTGTTTGTATGTGGTGCTGAGGATCGAATCCAGGGCCTCGCGCCTGCTAGACAAGCACGCTACCACTGAGCCACAACTCCAGCCCAGGACTTTAGTTTTTTTTATTTTTATTTTTGGATCACATCCAGGATGACTTTGATGTCTGCTCACCACTCTTTTTTATCCCTTTCGTAATTCTTTGCTCAGTCCCAGGTCGTGTTCTCCCCAGTATCCTAAAGCTGAGGAACACAGCTGGGCTGTGGTGCACACCTGTAATCCCAGGATTGAGGAGGCTAAGGCAGGAGGATCACAAGTCTGAAGCTGGCCTCAGCAACTCAGCAAGGCCCTAAGCAACTTAGTGAGACCCTGGCTCAAAATTTTAAAAATTAAAAAAGGGGGCTGCTGGGCTGGGGATGTGGCTCAAGCGGTAGCGGGCTCACCTGGCGTGTGTGCGGCCCGGGTTCGATCCTCAGCACCACATACAAACAAAGATGTTGTGTCCGCTGAAAACTGAAAAATAAATATTAAAATTCTCTCTCTCTCTCTCTCTCTTAAAAAAAAGGGGGGACTGTAGGGGCTGGGGTTGTAGCTCATTAGTAGAGTGTTTGCCTAGCATGCATGAGGCACTGGGTTGGTTCCTCAGCACCACATACATGTAAATTATATTGTGTCCAAGGCTGGGGTTGTGGCTCAGTGGCAGAGTGCTCACCTAGCACGTGCAAGGCCCTGGATTCAATCCAGGAACACCACATAAAAAAATAAAATAAAGGTATTGTGTCCAACTACAACTAAAATATATATATATATATAGTGTCCACCTAAAATTAAAAAATAAATATTTAAAAAATCCAATTGCTACTTTAGTATTTAAAAAATGGAGGGGGCTGCAGATATAGCTCAACTGGTAGAGTGCCTGCCTCAAATGAAAGGAAAAAATAATTTAAAAAGGCTGGGGGTGTAGCTCAGTGGTTAAGCACCCATGGTTTCAATACCCAGTACCAATAAATAAGTAAATAAAGCTGGGGAACACAAAATAGACCAAAAACTGAAACTTCAAGGAAGTTTGACCTAGTCTAGAGACAATAAAGGAGAAAGCAACGTCTCGATTCCATGCCAAGGGTTTCCACAGGACATATGTTTAACTTGGATTTCACTGGGACACTCAGGCCCATAGGAAGTAGGAGCTAGAGCACATCAGAGATGTTAGCAAGTGTCACCTGATAAGCACCAAGATAGGGGTACATGGGGCTTAAGTGAGGAGATCTGGAAACTGTGTTAGACCCTCCCCTGACCTCTGTGCCCTGTGGCCCCTTCTTTCCATTTTCATGCACCCACCACACTGAGCTTTCATGACCACCCACCTCCCAGAAGAACCTTCAAAGCCTAGGACCCTCAAGGAGTATTCATAGTTATTATTCATAACCCATGGGCCAATTTCCCAGCCCAATTGAATAAACCATAGCCATATATGGCGCTAGAACGAGGTCACTTTAATTTTTTTTTTCTGTATGAAACTGGAAATGCAACAGGGAGGAATCGGACACAGGACACAGGACACAGACCCTGGGGGCCTGCTCCTGGTGGCATTAAGAAGAAGAGCGGGTCACGGGGAAGGCTGGAGAGAGGAAGGACCTGGCTGGGACTGGGTGGGATCGTCAGGGGATAGAGGGTGTTGACAAAGGACATCCAGGAGCCCAGCAGTTGGGGAGGGGCACTGCCCCAGAGGACCAGGAGTTCAAGACAGGTGATCTGAGGAAGGGATATAGGTGTGGTGAGCAAGGGGGCAGGGTTCCCACACACACCTGGAGTTGGAGAAGGGGCAAGAAAAGGAGAGGAGTGACCAGGAAGGGAGCCAGAGAGACCCAGCTATTACAGCCGGGAGCCCCCCTCCATCTACCCCAAAGTGCACAACTCGGCAATAAATAGTAATATTTATAAATAAATAAATAAATAGATAAATAAATAAATACATAAATAAATATCCTTGTAGAGCTAGGAGTTTGGTTTGAGGGTGGAGAGATCATAGAAATGCAGTAAGTTCATTTCTTCTAGACAGGTTCTAAGGTCCTTCATTCTGCTGGCCCAGGGCTATGATGAGTGAGTGGGGCTCAGCACCATGGGGCGGGGGAGCCATGAGGTGGGGTGGGGGTGTCTCTTCTTTTGCAATGGCAGCTTAAAGAAACAGGGGAAAAATGTAATAAATAGGCCCTAAGACCAGGAGCAGCCCTGGAGGGCAATAATAGGGCATCCCCTTGCATCTAAATGAGGAGACAGCATGGGTTCTGTCCATCCTCCGGGTGGGCTGGGATGGAGGAGAAAGTGGCTGTCAGGGCTGCCCCACCCACCCATGGCCTGGGCCTTCTACAGGTACCACATGCTATTTGGAGATGTCACACCCATCCCAGGATTGAGGGATTGAGGTTTTTCCTTTTTTTTTTTCCTTCAGTGGCACACAGGGAGGGAGAAAATTGGAATGGTAAGGGGCAGGGAAACAGCCAAATAACTCAGCAAAGGCAAGGCACTCACTACTGAGTAAGAGCTGAGGTCTGTATGTGCTGAGCCTCAGGAATAAGATGGACAAAAGAAAAGCAAAAAAGTTTTCTATTATTCCTGGCTACTGAGATTTCCCCTTTCATGTGTTATTTCACTCACCTCCTATCTCCCAAGAGCCCTCCTATCTCCCAAGAGCCCTCCTCTCCCCCAAGCATACTGAAGAAGCCCATTCCTGACTCCAACCCCAGCCTTACACCCTTCCAGGTCTGATGCGCCATCCGCACCACGGGCTAGAACAGATGGAAGAGAGTCCGGGTCTGGAGTCTGAAAATCTGGACATAGGGGTAGAAAAAGCAGCAGCCCAGAGACAGCTGGGTTTAGGAAATCCACCAGGGCCCTGTTCTGATCACTCTAGCGAATGATTCTGACCAGATTCTGACCCTAACAGCAACAGCAACCCCCTGAAGGGACCCATGAGAACAGCCATCAGGGGTGCCTAGGTCAGTAAAAGAAAGTGGCCTTCCGGACCAGCGGTGGGCACTGTCTGGGCCTGATGCCTTTGGGATAGGGAGGAGAAGGCCACTCTAAGCAATGAGCAGTAGAAGGGGCTCTAGAGAGGCCCCAGAAGGAGGGGAGAGTCCGGGGCTGCAGGCCGGCTGAGTTCAGACGTCCAGCACGTGGTTCAGGTAGGAGATGTAGCAGATGGCGAGGCGCAGGATCTCAATCTTGGAGAGCTTCTTGTCCGGAGGCAGCGTGGGCAGCAGCTTCCGCAGCTCAGCGAAGGCCAAGTTGAAGGCCTCCACGCGGATGCGCTCCCGCGTGGCATGCGCCGTGCGGTACTTGGCAGTGGCCCTGCGCCGACGCCTGCGCTCTTCCCGGCTGAGGTGCTGCAGGTCTTTCCGGCCAGGCTCTCCCGGCTCTGACCCCCGGGCCTGGCCCCCGCCCGGACACCCCGGCCCAGCACTCTCGGGGCCTGCCCCACCCCCACAGTCGCTGAAGCCGGACTCGGCCTCCGAGTGAGTGGGAGGCAGGTCCAACTCCATGGTGTCTGAGTTGAGCATCATGATGGTAGCCGCCGGTCCAGTGAGATCGTGATCCCCTCCCCACCCCTCCCTCTTGGAGCTTGAAAGCTGGCGGTGGGAGGGGCAGGAAGGGCCTGGGGTGTTGGGGTCTGCCACTGAGCTCTGGAAATCAGAGCCACTTCAGGGTTCCATGGTCAGGGTTCCAGAACGGAGCCTGAAACAGAAAGGTCAGAGTCAGGGGAGTGGGGGTGGAGATGGCCGAGGGGCGAGAAGGAACTGTGCCTGTGAGGGAAGAACAGCAGACCCGGGCAGGGCCAGAGAGAGACAGACAAATGGACACGGTGGAAAGCAGCAGGAGGAAAATAGGAAGAAGGAAAGAGGATCCAATATGGAACTGGAAGAGAAAAGTCAAAATGACGGAAAGCAAACCGAAGGAGGGCTAAAAGTGAGCAAGAAGATTTAAGACCTAAAATTATAGAACTGCTAGACGAAAAATAAGGGGAAAGTTTCATGACATTGGACTTGACAATGATTTCTCGGATAGGATACCAAAAGCCTAGACAATCAGCGCACAAAAAGATAAATGGGATTACATCAAACTTAACCTGGTACATTAAAGTACACAGTCAACAGAGTGTAATCTGTAGAATGAGAGAAAATATTAGCACATCATATGTGTGACCAAGGGTTGATTAAATCCAGAACATATGTCCTGCATCTCAACAACAAAACTATCAAGTAACCTCATTAAAAAATGGGCAAAGAGGGCTGGGACTGTAGCTCAGTGGTAGAGCGCTTGCCTTGCCTGTGTGAGGCACCGGGTTCAATCCTCAGCACCACATAAAAATAAATAAATAAAATACAGATATTGGGTCCATCTACAATTAAAAAAGATTTTTTACAAAAAAAAATAGGCAAAAAAAAAAAAAACTAGACAATTTCTCCAAAGATGATATATAAATAACCATGCATGTGAAAAGATACCGAACATCTTTAATTACTAGAAATGCAAATCAAAACCACAATGAGACATCAACTCACACCCACTAGGGATGGCTACTATATAAATAGAATAAAAAGGACTGGGGATGTGGCTCAGCCACAGTGCACTTGCCTAATATGCAGGAGGCCCTGCAAAAAAAGAAAAAGAAAAAAAGAAAAGAAACCCAGGAAACAACTCTAAAACAAAATTGGTCTTGCAAGAATGGGAAAAATGGGAAGCTTCATGCCCTGTTGGGGAGACTGTAAAATGGCACAACTGCTATGGCAAACAGAATGAATGTTCCTCAAAAAATGAAAAATGAAACCACCGTATAATTCATAACTTCCATTTCTGGGGAGATATATATATATATATATATATATATATATTATTAATTATACGGTTGTTTCATTGGTCATAATTCCTGTCACATGCTATAAGAGATGAACCTTGAAGACCTATTAAGTCAGTCAGTTGAAAATGGACAAATTACTGTAAGTCCACTTACATAAAGTTATCTAAAGTGGTCTAATTCATAAAAACAGAAAGTAGAGTGGCGGCTGGCGTGTGGAGGAAGGAGTGGCTTAGTGAGTCCAGAGCTTCGCATTTGCAAGATGAAAAAGTTCTGGAGATTATTTCACTATGCGTTGAATATACTTAACACTACTGAGCTGAATACTTTTCTTTCATTCAGTATTGGGATCTGAACCCACTACTACTAAGCAACACCCCTATCTCTTTTTATTTTTTTAATTTTATTTAGGGTCTCACTAAGTTGCGGAGGCTGGCCTTGAACTTTCTGGCCTCCTGCCTCACTATCCTGAGTAGCTATGATTACAGGCATGCGCCACCATGCCCAAATTAACTGTACACTTAAAAATGGTTTAGATGGCAATTTTTGTTACTTTTTTACCATAATAATAAATAAAAGGTAAAAACTGAGCAAGACTGGCGCTATAGCTCCAAGAGAGGTTGGCTATGTCTCTAGACCTTTCCCAATTGTGGCAGGGGAGGGGGTGTGATTGAAAATCTTGGCCTTGTAATCTTTTTCCTCCCACCCCTTGCTTCTTGGGGTGGGGGTTAAAACACACGGATTGTCCATTGTATGGTAGGCTGGGACATATGGAGCTTAGCACAGCTGCCCTAGCTTAGTCCCTCCAGTCCCCAAAACCTCCTTGACATGACCACTGTGGACATTGGATCCGACCACCATTCGAACCAGGGGAAGATATCTCTTCTCATGACGATCCCCCTGCCCAGGACCACCTTTCTTCCATCTCTGTCCTCAGCACATTCAGCCCTTGCCATTCCCTGGCCCTTTTGGAGACTCCGCAAGGAAGTTTGGGGAAAGGGAACATAATCACTCTCCCATATTCCAAGGTAGTTCAGGCATGGCCTGAAGAGGAAGGCGAAGACATTTTCTTGGGGCTACCCTTGTGAGGCTTGGCTGAGGTTTGCTTGTCTCAGGTCCAGAGGAGATCAGTGGAAGACAGCAGGAACGTGGCAGGGGAAAGGGCTTTGGTTGGCAGGAGTGTTCGTAGAAACAGTGAGCTCAGCCTTACTTAAGTAAGAAACAAGCACTGAGGCTCCTTTACAGTCACCATCTCCCCTTCTTCTCAACCCTGGCTTTCTTGCCTGACAGACACTCTCCCAGGGGCCAGTACGCCCCACACCACAGAAGACAGGCTCAAGTCAAGGAGACAGTTAATAAGCTCCAGGGGATGCAAGGTCATCCACATCTGATTGTGGGGAAGACAAGCACACACACAACCAAGACACAAAACAGATGAAGGTTCATTCTGAAAGTAAGAGCATACTCCATATTCCAGGATCCAAAGGAAGGAGAGAGATGGCACTCGTGGAGGATAGTGAAGGAGAATCACGGAGTGCATGATGAGTGCCCCAGCTCCTCACTCCCATACTTGGGTTGGAACTAGAAGATTGTTTGTAGCATTCCCAGTACATCTATCATAACCAGATTCTGCCTTTGCTGGTCCCCTTGTCCCTTCCATCCTGATCACTATCACATGCCCTCTCTGTGCTCCTCATTTGGCCTCGGCCTGTCTCCATCTGTCCCCACTGTCCTCAGCTCCAGTCTGGGCAGCAGCTTCTATTTCCCTATTAAGTTCTCACCCCAAAATCCACATCTGGTCTCAAAGTTCCAGGATCCAAGGATCAGAGATGCTGCAATCCCAGACATCCAGGATAGGACTTCCCACCGTACTTCTGTCAACCGCAATTCAATTGAGGATAGACAGGCACAAAGAGTCAAAAAGAAGTGGGGAAGAGGCAGAGATGGAGAGACACAGCACACGAGAGAGAACCAGAAGGAGGCTCTGGGAAGGGGCTTAAGCCAGAGAATTGGAAAAACACACCCACCCCTTCCCAGCATCCTGTTTCCCCTTTTACCTAGGAGGACCCAAGGGATCCAAGCCGGCAGGACAGAGGGGCAGCGTTGAAAGCCCCAGTCTCCTCTGGCTGCTCGGGGTTCATCCGTCTGCAAAGTTAGTGACCGGCTTTCTAGAGCTCTCGGAGGGAGCTTGGCGTGGCTGTACAGGCTCCACAACAGATGAAAGGGGCACACATGGTGAAGATACAGGGCTCAGGTGGAGGGAGTGGGCTTGGGCAGGTTCTGGGTTCACCCACACTCACAGACACAGACACATACACACCTGAGGTGGCCCAGCCCTATGTATATATATGGAGATACACATACACACCCCCAGCTCTCCATTGGCTTATCCATGCCCCCCCTCATCAATATTAAATAGCCAGGCCAGGCAGCCATTGGCAGAGGGATCTGGGAACCCCCCGGGAGCTGGGGGCGGAGGCTGGCCCTGGGGGGGGCGGGGAGTGGGGGAGCAGGGACATCTGTTCTCCATGCATATTTCATAAGCAAGAAATGGAGAGCTGGGGAAGGGGTGGGGCTGGGGCCAGAGCCAGGGCAGGACCACAGATGAACCCCTTCAGCCTCCCATGCCAGAGGCAGTGGGGCAGAGGGCCCTAGCAAGCTAGATTTAAGTGCTATAGTCCCATTCGGAGTCCCAGCATGACTTTGAGCGCCCCTTCCCCATATCTCTTTTTTCCTAAGAAAAAGGATCTCCAAGGTACTAACAGGAAACTGAAAAGAGAGCAAGTGGACATCACTAAAACAGGACAAAAGGACCCGGGAGTCCTCGCTCTAACTATGTGCTCATTTTCATAAAGTTGGTATCACCTCTCGCCAGACTGCTTCTGGCTACTGTGCAGGCCCTCACCCTTATCACCCTGAGAATTACTCACCCTGTCCCCTCTTATCCAGCCCCCATCTTCCTACCTACTCCATCACTGGGCCATGAGTGGGGTCAGAGTCTGGACACAGACCCCATAAGTAATTATTTGAGGCTGGTCAGCCCAACTGCATTCACTGGAAATTAGGGACTCTTAGGAGGAGAGAGGTAGGGGATAAAGGTGAGGAGGGAGGAGTGCCAAAAGAGGAAGAGCCAGGATTGGAGAGGACGCTGGGAGAGGAGGGCAGAGTTTGGAGTGTATGAGGCACGAAATCAGCAACAAGAAAAGTGATACAAAACTATGTGCAAATGAGCACTGATTAAATTCACATGAATAGCTCAGTAGCCTCCATTGTGTGTGTGAGTGTGTGTGTGTGTGTGTGTGTGTGTGTGTGTGTATTGCAAGGTGACAGGAGTGGAGAGGAGGCACCCAGTGAAGGGAAGCACTGAGACAGGGGACTGGGTTTCAGTATCCGAGTTCTCTTTCCCTACTCAGCTGTTGAAAGTCTTCATTGAACCTTTGTGACTAGAAACCATGGATGGAGAGGACTCCAGAGACAGCTGTGTGACCTTGGACAAGTAACAACCTCTTGAACCTCAATGGCTTTTTTCTGCTTCTTGGGTCTCCATGGAGATTAAGGCTGACAGTGTTTGCTGTGGGCCTAGACTTTAGCAGGAGCACAGCCAGCCTTCAGACAGGGAGGAGTTTGCCACTTCTCTGCGACTGATCAATCTTTTCTGGGCTTTCTCCAGTTGAGGCATTCCCTAAGGAGAGTTCCATAATTCCTCCCCAACTCCCCCTGCTCTCCCTGCCCCCAGGTCTGGGAGGTGCCAACTCCCACCTGGGCAGGCCTCGACAGGTGCCCAGGCTCCAGCAGATGGGCTGAGCTGGAGGGGAAAGAAGGCTTGGGTGGGGGGGGCCGGGGATCAGGTGGCATCTCAATTCTTGCATCATCATTGCCATGGTGCTGATTAAAAACCAATCTCCACCTAATGAGCCCCCAGCAACAACAGTTCTACCTCCCCCACCCTCCTGCCCTCCAACCCATCCAAGGAATTGGGAGACCAAACGACTCGGGAGAGAGAGCCAGAGGGGAGAGGAGAAATAAATAAAGAGAGGGGATGCAGAGGGAAACGATGAGGGAGACACAGGGAGAGAGAGAGAAAAAAGATGAGAAACCACAGAGTTATTGGTAACAGACATGGGGGAGACAGAGAAATGGGGGAGGCAGAGAAATGGGGGAGGCAGAGAAATGGGGAGACAGAGAAATGGGGTTACACAGTCGGGGAGAGACAGACAGGAGAGACAAAGATAAAAAATGGGAGGGTGGGGCAGAATTGCAAGGTCGCCAAGGCTTTGTAGAAGACTCAGAGATGCAAGGTATGGGAGAGAGAGGGGTGGGGAGAGATCTGAAAATTGGAGGCCGTTCGGGAGACCCAGGTGAATGCAAACATGGAGAAAATGTTGCTCTTCAACAATGGAGAGATGCTGATCCCGGGAGACAGTCTGAGGGAGACCTCAAGACAGAAAGGAGACCTAGACATGGGGGAAGCAGAGAGCAGACAATTGAGAGGAAACAGGAAAAGTATAGGAGACAAGTTTGGAGAGCAGAGAAATAGAATGTAGGCGAGGGATTTTTACTGAAATGAGGGCCTCAGAGCCTTACATGTAAGATGTTGAGGAAAACAGAATCAGAACTGGGAGAGACTCTTAAGAGGAAAGGGAGGCTGGGGATGTGGCTCAGTGGTTAATTGCTGGGTTCAATCCCTGGTACCAAATGAATAAAGAAATAAGAGTCAAAGGATGTATGGAAAGGGAAGAAGGAGCCAACCCCCAGTGCCAGCCTCCCCCCTTGTAGGATGTTTAGCTCAGATACTTCAGTCCCACAAACTCCATGCCTGTAGCACCCGGCTGGAGCTATCTCTAGTGCAAGTGAGAACATGCTCTGGGGACCATTTCCTCCTCCTCTGCATCTGTCAAACCAGGATCCTTGACTTTGGGGCCCCCAGCCCCAGGCTTCACTCAGGGATTCAGTCTTGGCTCCTTAGGGTAGTAGCTAAAAAGAACATTCATGTGTAATAAAGAGAAGCTAAAACATGGAATGGTGGAAAGGAACTGAACCTGGGGTCCAAGTCCTGGTGACCTTGGATAAGTCACTTAACCTTGAGCCTTATTTTGCCATCTGTGAAATGGGGATAATGTTACCTTTTCCATCAAACTGTGTGACATCCAGGTATAACGAGTGGAAAAGTGCTGGGTCAACTGTAAAGTGCCCAACCCCTTACATTTGCATGGTGATTTAAAGGCAGCAAGAAGTTTCATATGCACATGTATCTAAGGCATCATGATGCGGAAAAGCTGGGGAGAGCTGAGGTCAGCCCCACGCCCCAAGGGGCAAGGAGAACCCTTGGAGTTTTGTGGGGGCCTTTGCTCTAAGGAGGGCAGGAGGAGCAGGGCTTGGGGATGGGGAGGAGAGTTATGTCTTTTTGTTTTATTGTAGTTATTTTGCATTTTATAGACATTCACTTTTTCAGATGGCGATTCACAAATCTCTTTCTGTCCCCTGACAGCCTGTAGGTAGATTGTTGGGGGAGGGAGTTGGTGGGTAGGGAAGACACAGGGGCCTGGGCCCATCCTTGAGGGTGGGGGAGGGCCTGGAGGAGCTGAGAAGCAGTGGGTTTGGCAGGAGAGGGGGTGACATATGTGGGGAGCCCTAGGGACCCAACCAGGCAAGCGGCTGGCAGGGAGAGCAGACGGCGTTAACCCTTGCTGTGCCATACTGCCTGACCCTTCCCCAGGAGTGGCCCATGGCAGGGTGTTATTTTGTAAGAGGCTGGTGGTGTTTGGGGGTCACAGGAGCAAAGCAGGCAGGAGGAGGAGCCTGGGCAGGAGCTGTTGCGTTTGTGGAGCAGCTTCATCTTCGAGTTTCCTTGTCCATTTCCACATGGTCTCTGTCGGTCTGTCCTCCTCTGTCTCCACCTATCTGTGCCTCTAGAAGGTGACAGCGGGTCTCCACTCTGGCTAACTACGCAATCTGTCACCCTCTCTGCTGCCAGCCCCCTGGAAGCCCCCCTTCTCAGGGCCCAGCCCGGAGCCCTCTCGCCCCTGGCCCCCTGGACCTTACTGCCTTTGTCTCCTAAGTCGGCCTCGCCTTTCTTCTTCCTCTCCACTCACCTCTCCTCAGCTCCAATCTCATTAGGGCCTCCAACCACTGCACCGCCCCCGCCCCCAGCCTCTTCTCTTCCCTCCCCCATCCATCTGTCTTCCCCGAAGCTCTCCTCTTTGTGTCCACCCATCTGTCACCACCAGTGCTGGGCCTACTCCCCTCCTGGCCACGCCCTCCTGGCCTTTCTCCCCTCAGGCTTGGTTCCCTCTCCAGCTATCCCTCCCCTTCCTCCTTCCACCCAGCTGGGAATTCCACTTCCTCAGTTGCCTTTCTCGAGCTCATTTTTGCTGGACATCCTTTCTTATCTCAGGTTTTGCTCCTTCTCCCTAGGTTCTGTAACCCCTCCTCAGTTGTGAGTTGGGGGAGAGAGAAAGGGGGACTCCAGGGTCCTAGCCTCCAGCTCCTGAGGCGTCACCCAGCCTGAGCCAGAGGCTGGTAACATTTGCTAACAGTTGCATCATCTCAGAGGGATGGCTGCTCCGTAGGCCTCTTGAGATGACCTCCACTCCTGCCCGGTTTTCTCCCAACTGGACATGGAGTCCTTCTCTACAGAGGGTGGAACTCCCGGACCTTCTGGGTTTGAATTCAAGAAACGATAAAAATCTCTCCCGAGGCCTGCTGGAACCCCAACATTTCAGGAACCTCTCTTTTCTTTCCTAGTTCAACTACAGCCAGCCCAGCCAAGCTTTCTTTTTCATCCTAGCTTTTTGAGAATGGAATGTTGAAAGGACAGGGTTCCTGTATAGTCTTCTGCCACAATTTCCCAAATTTCCTACTGTTCCTGGGTTAGGGGGCAATGGTGTCCCTGAGGCCTCTTCCTAGGATTGACCCTAGTGCCTGCCTAGTGCTGCCTTTCAGAGTTCAAGAATTAATCAGCCTCTTGTTTGTGTTGTCGTTGTTTGAAGTACTGGGGACTTGGGGGATTGAACCCAGGAGATTTACGTCTGATCTGCCGTCCCAGCCCTTTTTTTATTTTGAGACAGGGGTCTCACTAACTTTCCCAAGCTGGCCTCCAACTTGTGATCTTTCTGCCTCCTGAGTCACTGGGATTACAGGCATGCACTACTGCACCACAAAACTTGACCAACCTTTTAAATGGTCCCTGTCCTGAGGGACGTAGATAAAAGGGAGGTGAGAGAGGAGGCTACACCTCCAGCTGTCCCTACACAGAACCAGACAGACGGAGCTAGTGTGGACCTGAGAGAACAGTCCCTTGTCTAAATCCACACTTTACAG